TTGCATAATCCCTTTGAAGGTTCCTAAATAATTGTAACTTTACTTGTGATTCACTCAAAATTCGGATTGCCGCCCACTACACAGTCACAATTGCATACATAGTTATGTACATGTATATTTTTATAGTCCTTCCTATTCCTTCACTAATGTATTTATGTTTTTCCTTTTTAATTTTTTGATCAATTTTTCATTTCTTATTTTGAAAATACCATAATTCCCAAAACGTACAGATGCATAAGCATATGGTATAAGGATAAGAGGTAATGCTGGTTTACAGAGGAAAAAACGCTTTAATCGGATTTTTAGAGCAACATTGTGTTTTAAATCTATGTCAAATAGAAAATTTGCGCTATGGCCCCATTTAAACTGAAATTCCGAATGGGTGGCTCACGCAGCACATCACAAGAGCATGAGGCAGATCCACAGGTAAACGAGGCGCTACTCAATCATCACCAGCATCATTCGGCGACAATTGGTGCCAGTAGTTCCACCATCGATTCGACAGACTGTACAAGTCTTGGTTCAATGGGTACCAATGAGCGTAAATCCTTGCTGCCAAACAAAAGCAACAATTTGCAATTGGGTAAGGATTTTTCTAATATTTTTGTTTGGGAATGCTGTTTCTTACCCTAATTTTACTTGGTCACGCCTTCTTGAACCGCAAAAAATTGCTGCTTAATAAAACGGTTGCTTTTCATATCTGACTTACGTACGTATGTATATACTTTATGTATATACTTTTTTCTAGTTTGTTTTTAATTAAATATATTCCAATTTAAGTTGCGTTTATTATGTTGACAAGGAAATGCAAAAGCGTCACAACTAAAAAAAATCAGAAACGATTAGCTACAATAGTACACGCAACTTTATTTTAACTTCAAACAACTAAAAAAAAATCAGAAACGATTACGTATAATAGTACACGCAACTTTATTTTAACTTCAAAGATTATTAATTTTTTTTTTATATATTTGTTTTTGGAGATTTCATCATACAATTAATAAACTTGATAAAGAGAATATGTTCAACCTAACAGATGACAAAAGTTCCCAAAAATGGCGAAGATATGTATGTATACCAACTGTATGAATTGATCAAACTTTGATTGCGTTTTCCCACAAAATTGAAATTTTGAAACAATCCTGTACATTATTAAACGCGCAATATTTTAAAAGCGTGAATTTAAAAATAATTCATAATTTACTTATTATTTCCCAAGTTAAATTTCTGGCAAAATTCAATCGACTGAACTCATCCTTTTCAATTAAGGAGCTCAATTTAAAATAACATCTCATAGGCGGACGCTCTTATAAGCGGACATCTCCTATAAGCGGACACATTCTTGGGAACGAACATTTTTTGGTTTTTTTCCATACAAAATGCTCTCCCATACACGGACTTTCCGATAAATGAACGCGGACTCTCAAACATGACTAGTTATGAAAAAAAATCTCCCATAAGCGAACGTGAATTTTGTTTTTTTTTTCTAGTCAGATGTTGAGTTGTACATACATATGTATATATGTATATAAACACAAGAACATAGGGACAATATGGACACATATTCAAAGATTTTTTTCTTATATATATACAAAGTTTTGCCTTTTCGTTGCCCTTTTCTTGCTGCTTCAGCGAAGCGGGCAATGAGATTTGTTCATAGGAAAGAAAACGCCATAAATTTGAATTTATTTTTAAATCATTCTGTTTCTGTCTATTGAAGAATAAATATCATTTTAATTTTAGAAGACCGATATTTAAATTTTTTAAATTTGACAAAAAGTAGGTGACCTCGGGGTCCGCTTATGGGACCTTTCACTGTTTAACTTTTCAAAATAATACTCCTTATCTTTTGCAAATAAAGATATTTTTGCAGTAGTTAGAGGGGTGTATTCTAAACTCATACATCTAAGCATGGGCGTAGTCAGCCCTAATTTTCAAATTTTCCTTATATATATATATATAAAATAGTACCCTGAAATGCCAGCTTAATAGGGTCGAGCCCCCCCTAAATTTCATTCTGGCTACGCTGATGCATCTAAGGTAAAAAGTTGATCATGGAAAATTCTGAGATGTGACCCTTTTGTATTTATTGTTCTTTATAAATACTTATCTATTTAAATACACATATTTAGCATTTTTATTGAGTGTATGTTTGCTTTTATATGTTTGTAGAAGTTGATTCGTATTATAAACCTTACCTTTATGTCAGTGATTTATTTGCTCAATACTAACAACAAAAGTATTTAGGTGTTCAGGTTGTAGTAAATACCAAATAACTATTTTGGCGGTTTCTAAATATCTAGTTAGCTTCACCCTACGATACACCGTGTACAAATGTTCTATGCGACCTCGGTTTCGCTAATTACCGCGTACCAGGTCCCACCGTAATTTTTTTTCCAAAATCTGAAGCTGCTGGAAACCTTATGCTTACGGATTCGTAATCAGCACAAAAAAAATCATCAAAAACAGCTTTAACATTTGCCGTACCAATTTTTTTTGTATTTTTTTGGGCTGTGTTATTCATAAACAAATGAGCAAAATTGAGATTTCCGTTTTTTCTACAGAAATTTTTCCTTATGTGGTCTATAACACCATTAGCTCCCCTATTTAGTTATAGTTTTGCAAAATAATTCAATGAATATCATCATGCATGTGCAGTAGACTGCGCCTTATTTTGCAACTTTGTCTTACAAAGCAAAACTACCCTCAGAAATGTTCATTTGGTAATAAATACTTAAAAACGTGCCCTGCAAAAAAAAATTAAAATCGGACAACCGAAAGATGATGAAATTCAAAGGTTCAAATTCCTCAGTAAATTCTTGGAATTTGTCACAAAGTGGTCAATATTTTGCCATGAGTCTGGAAATTTAATACAGTCCAACTTCTATAACTCGAATCACGATTATCCAATCAAAATGTTCGACTTATGGAGACTTCGAGTTATAGAATATAATTTTTTTTTTTAAGAAACCACAATTATGTAAGATAAATCTTAAATAATGAACACATTTATTAGTTCGAAATCAAGTTCACATGCAAAAGTGGAAATGTATTAAAATAATCAGAAATGAGTGATTAAAACCCTATTTTCCTTTTGGGGTTTTCAGTAAAAAGAGATTATAATTCATTCAAAGCCATATAGTGATCGTCAGTGCTAGTGTCATTCGTTTGCAAATATAAATTAAAACATCTGAAACAAACTCTAACATCATAATTTGAATGCTGGTGAATAATTTCATCCACTGAGGTCTCATCATCACTTTCCGTGGCGCGGAAATTCGAAATCCGTTTCATCTGCGTTAAAATATCGCATTCATTGTACTTTTCTAGTAAAATTGGCAGAGTTGTAGTTTTCAATTTCTTGCAGTTTTCGTCACTAGCGTCATTACTCCAACAATACACCTTTTTATGGCTCACGGCATGCCTAAAATAAAACAAAGTATCCACTATGAATGAACAATTTATCAATTACACTTCTTGTTTGTTACTTCTGCTTCCATTTGTCAACCAACTTGTGCTTGCCTTGAAATTTTCATCGCCAAATCGCTTGCAAACTCCATTGCTTTGTCCTTTAAAAATGCCCCGGATATTGGCATGTTTTGACTTTTAGCTGCTGTAAACCATTCGAACACAGCTTTGTCCACATTTTTATACGTTGGTTTTTTCATTCATTTGTTGCGTCCAGAAGTGGCACCAGTTTCGAACGAAGTTATTATTGACTCCTTATTTTTATAAGCTTTTATTTAACTTGGTCATCCCGCGCAAATCGCGGAGACTTGAAATTTTCAGCATAGTTCCAATCACGATGACAATGCAATTTAAAATATAAATGAATTCCCCATATGGTCCAGGGGTCTTGCTTCAAAGGCGGTCAAAAAATAGTAAGATTTATGGCTAACAGATCGTAATTTGCCAAAGAACGTAAAACCACTATAAAATTGTTAAAGCTGTCGGCGATAGTGTAGCAAAGCTACTTGTGGCAAATTCTGATATCAACCTAGTCTAGATATGAACCTCGTTGTAAGAATTAGAAGACTCCAGATGTCGCCCCGACAGAAGAAGTTAAATATTGCGCCTAAATATATGCCAGGCTACAACGGAAATGGACGACACGCCATTTCTTTAAATAAAATTAACTGCTGCTATATGTACATATGTATGTTTATACAAACCATAAGCAACCAACATTTTGCTTGCCAAGTCTTCAGTTCTCTTTCATTGCAAGTTGAATTATTTTGATATCTATTGCAAAATTTTGTACATAAAATGAAATAACACTTTTTAATATACAACGCTTTTATAAATGGACTAAAAATTATAAAATAAAATAATGTAAAAAAAAATATGTTTTAAAAACAAGCTTTCATTTAACATGTACAATCAAAGGAATAAAATAAAGTAGTGTAACAAAAGATTTTTTAGCAAGAAAATTTTGTCAAAACTGCACTAAAATGAATAAAATAAAATAAGTTAAGGTCTCGTTAAAGTTACTAAAAGCCATTTAGTGAAAGGAGTTATTCAAATTCTAATGAAAATTACTAACAATTTGTACTAATTTACTTCGTTTTTAAAAAAGCTTGTCGCGCGAATAGCAAACCGACATTTAAATATCTGCATACATACATATACATACATACCTAACCAATTATGCATGTACGCTGAATTCGCCGAATTCACATACAACTTTCTTCGCTTTGCTTGATAGTTCTTTGCTTTGACATATAAGATCGATGTAGGCATATGCATGAGTATGCTCACATAAAAAACGTTTGAAGCAAAGCAAAGCAAAACGAAGCAAAATCTTGGGCAACTCTCAACTTTTGCCCGCTTTGGCAATCAGCTGTCTACATGTATCTTTTCTCGTGCGCTTGCATTTGCATTTAATGACAAAAATTGGGTAAATCGGAATTATTATTGCTATTATTAATGCATATTATTATATTGTTATCTATTTTACAGATAAAAAATATGGAGGAAAAGGAGAACGCAAAAGCTGTCAAAGCGTTTATTGTAGCATACCTTCTGCGTTTCACGCTTTGTTGTCAAAGTTTGAACTGTCAAGCAAAGCGAGGAAAGTCTTATGTGAATGGCCCTTAAGAGGTTCTCTGAAAAAAAAACCAAAGCAACAAAACCAAGTGCATAATTTTGGATTTCCTCTAAATGGTTCGACTTACATTTGGAAAATTTTTTATTCGAGTTAAGGAGAAATTCGAGTTAGAGAAGTTCGAGCTATGGAACTAAAAATTAGTGTATATAGCTCTCTAAAAGCTATTACCACTTGATTTAACTTGAGTTATACAAAATTCGAGTTATAGAAGCTCGAGTAATGGAAGTTTGACTGTATATTTCAATGGCACTTGATAGAGTTTTGTCCCCCGGTGTCAAAAATAGCTACAGTATTTTTAAGCCTCCCTATCTTTTAAAGTTATTGAGGCTTTTTGGGAAAAAGCTGTAAGGCCTTTTAAAAAATTCAATCAAATATGGCATCGAAACTAACCGTAAATTATATTTTGCTTTAAAAATTTTGTGCCACCGGAGAACCCAACACTAAAAGAACAAGTAAGAAAGTCTAAGTTCGGGCGGAGCCGAACATTAAATACCCGGCGCAAGTATTAAATATATGTTTTCCACCTTTCCGAAAGCTACCGCTACATGATAAGCCGGNATGTGAACAAAGTTATAATACCCTTGTGCACAAGTGCGCTCGGGTATAAAAATGATCCCTACAACTTTGGGATTTGAATATGCTACGCATTTTTATCAGAAATTGTAGAAAAATGGCGAAAACCGTGACAATGCAAACATTTTTCGCACGATTTGCTAATTGTTTACAATAAAACATTATTTTTTTTAGGTTTATATATGTACATATTAAAAATTTGTTTTTTATGAAAAATGCAAAATAAGCTTGCAAATCGCAAAAACCCCAAAAAACTAAAATCTAAGATGGCGGAATGATTCGGTATGAAATTTAGGGGCGAGACTGTGGATCCATGATCTATGTGTCAAATATTCATCAAGAGTTCGCTGCTACAAATTTTTTTTCTTCGTACCGATTTGATCTTAATTTACTTGGCTAAAATTTAACTTCTGAATTCCTAGAAAATTGTAATTTTACGTTCAAAAAACCACAATAACTTTAAAAGTTGAGGAGGTTTAAAAATAGGTTAGCCATATTTGACGTCGGGGAGCAAAACTACATCAAGTGCCATTAAAATATATAAAATTTTCCCTGACTTATGGCCTTGAGGGCCTTTCGAGGCACGTCTTTCCGTTGTCCGATTTTTTAAATTTTTCGCAGGGCATGTTTTTATGACCAAAGAAACATTTCTAGAGGGAGTTTTGCTTTGTAGCTTAACAAAAAATTATCTCCATACAACTAAGGCGCAATCTAATGTCCCCGCATGGGAAGAGAACGAGCACACAATGGGCTAGATTTTCTTAATATTCATCGTAAGCTGGATGTTAATGTTGACTCAGTATTAAAAGAATTTTTATCTATACCTCGGTGAATTCCACGTGACTTTTCTTTGAGTTTTGATAAATTATATCCACAATTAAATGCTCTAAATAAAACAATGATATTCTTGGTTGTTACGAATGATTTTACATTACATTTATATATTACATAACTTAATCTCCTTTTTCCAACCCTTTACCGATTAGATCATGGGCCAAAAACTGATAGATAGCCAATTAAGCAACACATGTAAACGACTGATGACTTATTCTGGTCTAAATCAATCGTTAAACCGTCTTTCAGTTGCATTTGACAATGTGTTTTCACTAATTTGACGACAAATGCCATTGAATTTGACATAGTGAAAACCAGCCTTTAGATATATTCTTCAAAGCAACAATAAATGTTAAAAAAAAAATAACTAAATTCTACAAAATAATTCCAGACTCTTTCTGAATGTATGGGCATTTTTTTAATTTAAGCCTTGTAATTAATTTAATCTTTTTCTGATTTTCCTTTTCACTATCACACTTAACTTTGTTTACTCAGTAGTGTTCGCCACAATATGAATGGCAAAGTACAGGCGTAAAATAATAACTGTCGCACAGGTTTTTCGAAAAATTAAAGGGTAATTTATAGATTTTGCAAAAAAAAGAATTTAATTGTTAACTTTGTAGATATTTTACTTGATTTTTATTATTTAGTTTTAAAATTTTAATCCTTAATTGCATTTTCCAGCTTTGGCAGATAAGTACATGTCTTTTTCAGGTGTATTTTTTCTTAGACTTTGTGTAAAAAAGGGAAAAGAACTGTATAGGGTTGGTCGAATGAATGGCCTCCTAGTCTCCAGTTCCAAATATATTAGATTGCTGAGTATGAGGCCTTATGTTGCACAAAAGGGGGAGTATAAATGACTCAAATGGGGAGAAATTAGCCTATGGTTACAGAAGATATGTAATAAGGCAACCGACGAAGACCGCTGGTAAACCCAAATGAAGGTTACAATTTAAACACTAATTAATAAAATTTAAGTAAAGTCTGTGGAAAACTAACAATAAATAACTTTTTTCGCAAAATCTATAAAGGACCATTTTATTTTTCAAAATAACCTTTGCGACAGTTATTATTTTACACCCTGTTTATGAGAGAATATAATAGCTGGAAAATGGAGAACAAAAGAAGTACAAAACTAAGAAAGGAGTACATATTCAGATTTTGCAAGGGAGTACATTGCAGTAAAAAGGAGTACGTTTACTCTGAGCTGTATGTGATGTACAACGACATGGCCATAGTTCTGCGAATAAAAATACGGCGGCTCCGCTGGCTTGGTCATGTCGTTCGAATGAGAGCAGAGGAAGAGGGAGGCCCCCACTGCGATGGAAAGACCAAATGCTGAAGGAGGCATTCACTTTGCATTTTCAATTGACGTCAGTTGGCACAGGAGAGAAACGACTGGCGTGCTTTGTTGAACTCGGCCAAAATCGCTTAGGCGGTTACAGAGCCAAACAAGAAGAATAATAATAGTTTATAGAGGTATATAGTAACATCGAAAACAAAGAATTTTTGTTATCTAACGAAATCTGAAATGGAATGACTAATGAGTCTTCATGATTATTAGGAAGACAAATCCCACTTTCAAAAGATAATGTGCATTAGTTGTGCCGGCGCGCGGTCAAATGGTTTTAGACCATTATAATTAAAACACAGTATTTTTCTTTGCCCTAAAGACGGTTACCGCGTTGTAACCGAAAGATATTGGACAAAAATTAAAATCCTGTTTTTCAATTAAAATTGTCTAAAAACATCTGATCTCGAGCCCGCACTACCAACAAATTAAGAAATAAAAGGTTTGGCTACCCATCATCGTTTATAGAGATCTAAAGTTTTAACTTTGTAGACAATTTGGAATACTCATGAAATGGGGGAGAAAACAGTACAAAGGAACAGGCTTATGTAAATATGCCTAAATGTAGAGCCTTATAAAAGCTATTGTTCTTCAAACTTAGAGTTTTGCGTTATCCGGGTCGTGATTTTCGTGACTATAAAGATGTTTCCAGGGCTACTTCGGGATTCTCGAGACTATTTCAGCATTTTGGAGATTTTCGGGATTTTTTTACATTTGCGGGATTCTAGGAATTATTTCATGATTTTCAGGAGGATTTCAGAATTTTTGAAATTCTTGGGAACATCCCGTTATTTTTAGGACTATATTGGGATTCTCGCGACTACTTAGAGGTGAGGTCAAGTTAGTTGAGGTAAGGTGAATTGCGGTAAGATGAATTAAGGTGGGGTGAATCGAAGTTAGGTGAGTTTAGGTGAAGTGAGTTCAGGTGAGGAGAGCTCAGGTGGAGTGAGGCGAATTGAGGCTAGGTAAGTGGAAGGCAAGGTGCTAATTGCTTTACCATAAAGTATTTAGTTTGAGAGTATTTAGCAATCTCCTAAATACCTTAGTACATTAATTATTTTACATATCCAATGTACCTGACTACTGTAGATTAGAGTATTAAGTACCTACGTTTCCTTTTACTTCAGTAATTGCCAAGTCCGAATACCCATTTTTTAAGTATTTAGTAACTCCAACATACCCTAGTTTGGTTTTTACTTGAGTATCTAAGAACTTCTAAATACCTAAGTTCTTTTTACTTGGGTATTTAAACATCCCCAAATACTAAGTATTTGGGTATTTAGTACCCAAACAGCTACATTTAATACAAGAGTACTTAAGTATTAGAGACGGACGATCCCGTGACTTTTGAGGAACAACGTTATTTGTGACTGTGACTTTGCAGTCACAGCGATTTTCTTCCGTGAGCGTGACAAAAACAGTGACAACAAGTAAGAAAGTCTAAGTTCGGGCGGAGCCGAACATTAAATACCCGGCGCAAGTATTAAATATATGTTTTTCACCTTTCCGAAAGCTACCGAAACATGGTAAACCGGGGTGTATCAATTTTGAGTAAATTAGCTCCTTAAATTTCGAAATATTGAAGTTTCAAGCATTTCTGAACTTTACTGTTATATGAAAAGCGGCCGCAATTTTAGTTCGATTTCAATAATTTTCAACGTTCTCATTTTCGTTGTTGGTGTTTCCGACAGGGTAGGAGTGTGATGTAATGTGGAACGATTTTCCGTCATCCGTTGTCAAATTTGGTTTGGAGACAAACCGGTTTCGGCGTTGTGCCATCTTCAGTGTCATTTTTCGTTCTGAATAGTTTCTGTTTGTCTGTCACTATTTATAGCCGTGTTAAATCGTCGTTGGTTCATAGTTAGGTAAGTATCAGCGAATTATATTCTTTCGTTCAACCAGTAGTTTCACTTTGCTTTACTGCCACTTGGTAGTCGTCGGTTGGGTCCTTTCTCATAATCCGACAATTTGTCTCTTTGATTAGTTGCTCTGTCTTTTCATTATATTCTTTTTCGTACATTATTACCGTTGTGTTCCCCTTGTCTGCTTTTGTTGTGATTACTTTATTCGTATTGAATTTTTTCTTTAGCTCTTTGACAGTTTTATTTTCGTCGCTTAGTTTTTTCTTATAATTGAAAAACGCATAGAATCTATGGATGGGTAATCCCACATCTGCAATTTTAATGGAAGTATTCATGCAACATTTAGAGGAAAAGTATATGACGGAGCTGACAACAAGCCTGGGAGTAAAGTTCTACGCAAGATACGTCAATGACATCATATGACTTGTAACGGGAGACAAGGAAGAACAAAATCTAGGCTATCTCAACGACCAACACACGAATATAAATTTCACTATGGATAAGGAAAACGAAGGCGAAATAAACTATTTGGACATAACAATTAAAATAAATAAGGTTACCAACAAATGCGAATTCGGGATATATAGAAAGCCCACGGCCACAGACACGATAATACACAATACTTCAAACCACCCCCAACAGCCCAAAAATTCAGCCTTTAGACATCTAATAACCAGGCTTCAACGAACCCCATTGGAAAACGAAGTTTACANAACCCCATTGGAAAAAGAAGCTTACAGCACAGAACTTAATACGATATACGCAATCGCGGAAAATAACGGATACAGAAAGGGCCTAGTAAACAAGATAAGAAGAGAAACAAAAACGAAGAAATCAAATAAGAAGGAAAATAATGAAAAGGCTTGGGCAGTCTTGAC